TAATAAAGATAAAATATGCAATTGTGATAAAAATGAGTTTAAAAGACTTTCTGCTTTTACAAAGGAAAGGAATTAAAAACAAATTCTTAACAAAATAAATTTTGCTACCAACCTCTGTTTGGTGAGCACAATGGTTGACCAATCCATGGCTATTCCACGCTGTTCTACAGATAATCTAACCATGTTGTGTTATTCTGAAATTTAGATCGATGTGCTATCGAGGAATACCATGTGCAATTTAATTGTACCCATGGTCACATTTTTTCCGTGTATACCGTGAATTTCGTTCATTCATGTTTAAACGCGCTGTGTCATTAAAATTGAAAAATTTGAACACGCAGCCAATAACCAGAATACCAAAATTTTAAAAAAAATATTAATAATCAAAAGAAGTTATTCGGACACAAAAGGTGCATACTTATAAGATTTGTCAAGTGTATAGCAAGCTTATGTAAGGATCCCGATTGAGATTGCTTTTGGACTCCTTAGGATCAAGGTCATGTTACAGTAATTTAAAACAGAGAAATAGTTTCCGGATAATAACTAGAGTTTGGAATGAGATATTGTAATCAAATATGATAAACAAGATCAACAAGGAAAGGCGGCGTTCAATGAACGCAACCCCCATATGACCCAGCAACAAGAACCGGTGGCAAGGAGCCTAGGCGGACCCCAAACAAAAACAGGACAGGGCAAAGACAGAGCACGGACAGGTTAATCATTAAATGATAAATAATTTGTAACTGATTAGGAATTCAAAGAAAAGAATAAAATAAATGTATTTTAAAGCAAGCTTCTATGTCTATTTGGCCTTTTCTCAACTTGTATGGTCCCAGTATTACAACCTGAATACTGTATAATCACCCTTAGGTTATGTTGCCTGCTTTTTAAATTTGTCTTTTGACGTCTTGTCTGTGATATGCAGGCTTCATAACCCCAGATCCCTTTTCAAAATTCGATTTTGTTTAGTTCCGCCCATTGTTTTCTCGTTAAGAGCACACGCATTCTTTTACTTTGGGACCATACGCCGCTTTTCATGGAATGGCACTCCTGTGTCTTATTGAAGGTTCCATGATAACCGCCGTATGAACACATCTTCTGCGGATGTTTCTAAATTCAAAATTTCACCATTTTCGTGTTAAATGTTGAATTCTGCTTAAGCCGGTGGAAGGGGGCGTGGACGGTAACTTGCACTTTCAAGTACCGTCCATGAAAAGGCTCAATTAAACCGAGCCTGCAACATTTTCAATTATGTCGTGTTGGGCTTTCTTTAGGGATTTTGTTTTACTCTAAAACCCCGTTTGGAATTGCCTTTTGACCCCGGGCTCAAGGTCAATATTACTAAAAATAGTAAAATGGTTTCCGGTCAATAACTAGCATTTGGAATAAGAAACTGTAATCAAACTGAGTATATAGCACGTTTACGGGAAGACCCCTGTATAGATTGCTTTTGGACAACTTGGGGTCAAGGTCACTGTAGCTAAAAATAGAAAAATAGTTTCCGGAAAATAGTTAGAGTTCCGAACAAGATATTGTAATCAAACTTGGTATATAGCAAGCTTAAGTGGAAACCCCGGTTGGGATTGCTTTTGGACTCCCTGGGTTCAACGTCCAGATCACCGTTTCTCAAAATAGATAATTGGTTTCCGGACAATAAGAAGAGTTTGGAATGAGATATTGTAATCATACTTTGTATATTGCAAGCTTATGTGAAGACACAGGTGAAATTGCTTTTTGACCCTCCTGGGATCAAAGTCAACGCTACTAAAAATAGCAAAATAGTTTCCTGACGAAAACATTAACTAAAAATGATTTATTTTAATCAAACTTGGTATTTCGCAACCTTATGTGCAAACAATTATTGGGATTGCATTTGAAAACTCTTAGGGTCAAGGGTCATTGTTACTAATAATAGTAAAAATAGAAAAGAGGTTTCTTGACAGAAACTTGAATTTAGAATTAACTAATATAATAAAATTTAGTATAATCCAATCTATTATGAAGATCCGGGTTTGAATTTCAAATAATTTAAATAATTCTTTGTACACAGTGGAAAATTCATAAATAATAGGTTGAGTTCAATTTCTTTTTCATGCCACTTAGTTTTCAAAAAGGCAAGGTTACTGGTGGGGATATTGAACACCTTTAGTGATAGATCTTATTATCATAATAAATGTTGCAGTTCTTGTTCTAGTCAGTATATCGTTATATGTACTCGTTTTCTTAAAGCGCAGAACATATTGCCAGAGTTCAATTCAAAATCCTGATCAAATTCTGTCAGTCTTAGATTAATGAACTAATTTATTAACTTGTAGTTTTTCACATTAGGCTCTTAAAATTTGCCTTTCTTAAGGACATCTATTTCTCTCTATTTAAACAATTTCCACATATTTCGTTTCAGTAGTCATGATAAATTGTTAAAACATGTTTTTCTATATGTTATTGATATGATTCATATGATCTGCAACAGGTCACACCGTTTTTACGAGATTTTTGACAGTTTGTTATGCAGTAAAGCCGACAATAAATAGAGAGAGAATTTTAAGAATCACTGTAGATTTATTAGGTCATTTATCACATCTGGAATGTTCATCAATCCTCGGTGAATTACAATAACAGTCATTATTGAGAGGCCAAACTAAATAAACTTAAAATGTGTCCATTGCTAAATTATACGTTTAATCTTTTAAGTATGTATGAGAATATCAGCAATGGATTGAATAATTTCGTGTTATTTTGCTTGAAAATCGGAAATTGAATAAGTGTTACTATTTGAAGTATAGTAATCGCATGTACGTACATATAAATTATCAGTAAGTTCTTTCTTACTTTATCAAGTTTTAACTTGCGAATATGATTAAATGTGCCTAGCGGGACACGGCAATTTTTTATTGCATTCAATTTCACTGAGTAGGATTTGTTAGTCAATAATACTATTCTATAGAAATTCCTATGTAATAAATAATAAATGTTTAGATCATTTGTTTTTCTACATGCTTAAATTCAAAGACAAATAACTATATTTATTTGAACTTTTAAATATATAAATATTTAAGGATTTGTTATGACTGGCTGCTTGAAAAATTGTAACTGCTTTGAAAACACATGCTTTAGTTGCAAGGAGGGATATTGGGGTAATTCATGTATATTTCCTTGTCCTGCAATATTTGTGAGCAAAATACTGCACATAGTTTAGATTGCAATGATTGATTTTCGGAATTATACATTACAAGGACGTATAATGTTCGTTATGCTCATATGAAGAATAAAAAGACGAAAACTGTTATACTTAATTTAGAATAGAAACTTTCGTGCCTTTTAATTCCTTTACTGGTAAGGGAATTCTGAATTTAAATAAATACTACTGACAATTTTGAAATTTTAAAGAGAAATCGGAGAGACAAAATAAATCTCATAAAGCTCCCGTAGAATATTAGGTTGATTCTTTGTGGCATTTCCTTTCTTTATTATGCAAAACCAATATAGGTTTAATTGTTTGAACAATTTGTACATTAATCAATTTAGATAAGCCTTGTCAATTTACTTGTCAGTAAAATTTGTTGTGTTCAACATGTCGTAACAGAATGCCAAGACCTATGTCGAAGCATCTGAACACAATATTCAGCTTTTCTAAACAGCTACCTATACATATATATGTAATCTTTAAAGCAGTTCAATCGTTTTAAATCAATAAAATGTGACGTTACGTCATACCATACCACATACAAAATTATAACTATAATATATTTTATTAATGTTTTGTAAATGTTTCAATGGATTGATTTGTGCATATATTTGTATGTTGAAAATCGAAACCTATTTTGTTTCCTTGCTGAAATATGATCTCTTCCCTGTCACATCGACACTAATTCAATTTACAATTGGTTGAAACTTGTCGATAACCGTAGTTGAACTATGAGTCAAATTTAAGGCGAAATATTCATGAAAGTTTTGCCTGATACAAGAAATATTTGCATCTTCATCTTGTATATAAAATCGGTAACTTTTTCTAAACGCATTATTTTAAAACAAATCATGTTTTTAATTTTATTTTAAAGTATTTTATTTCAGAGCTAGAAATAACAGAGACAATAGGAACAGCAAATGAATTGTTGCAAGTAAAAAACGATTATTCATCTTCTTTCGACACAAAAGAAAGCAATTACGAACAGTTGGATAACAATGTCACAGATATAAACACGAATATTACACAATCTTCAACTTACAAACTGCTTCAAAATAGATCAAATTGTCCAAAAGTTTAAGATAATCTATATGATTTTTAATACAAAGTAAACATGTGTAGAGAACTTGGAATTTCAGCATATTTAATTTGATTGATTACAAATTCGCATAACTTGTTGATTGCATTACATGAATTATGTAAAGCAAACAACACTGTTTATGTTTTTAATGATTACACTAAACATATACAGACAGGACATCAATTGTTTGTTAAATGTAAAAATAAACAGTGTATTTTATAAAATTTTAAGTAGGAAAATTATGAACAAAGCCCTTTACATAATTGTTATTCAGTAGGAGTAAACGGAGTCAATAAAAATTCATTTTTTTCTAGTTTTTTTAAAAGATGCTACTGTTAATGTTACGGTTTATTTTAGTTTTTCTTTAAGTTTAAGATTTTGGATTCTATGAACTTACCCTTAGAAATTTTTTTACAACTAAATGACGTCTTGTATGTTACTTTTAGTGTCTAAATTTTTAACTTTTAACATTTTATCTTGGTTTATTTTATATGCCTTCATGACATTATTAAAATTTCGTTTTCAAATATCTTCAATTTTTTTCTTTGCTTTGCATTACAAACTTTCCTTATGTATCATATTATATTGTGTCTTTGTCCAAATAGATTTCAACTGCCAAAGAACTCCTGAACTTGCATGAAGCATGATACATTTACACATGTTGCTGTGATAAGAATAGCGTCTACTTACTATGAATATCGATGGACACTTTGTACAGTATGACATTGTGAAATACATTAAAGTACAACACAATTATGAGAAGAAATGATAATTAAACAAACAGGAAACACTTCATAATAGAAGCATAAAAAGCAAGCCAAAAAAAACCATCCTACACAATTATCCATGTTCTTTGTATTGTATTCAATGTATATAAGATTTTTACAAACACATTATGCATACAAATATTCAAAGCTCGTTGGTTGGTATATTTAACAAATTCAAATCAATTACAAAGAAAAATAATGACATAAAATTCCGTTTTTTAATATGATGCCTTTAATTTACTCCCCTTATGTACCCCTATTCGGTAGGCCATAACATGCTCGCATCATGAGATCGAAGTAGCTATCATCATCTACTGTTGAACTAACTCCGGCATAGTAGTTCATGAACTCCTCACGTGTAACCTTGCCATCTGGATTACCAGGAGTATCTATACTATTTAAGAAGTGCTGTAGTACCTGTTCTTCTGTCCATTCTCCAGAAACAAACTTTGGATGCTTTTTTGCGTTTCTTGAATAAACAACTGAAACATATGAAATACAATTATATTATGAAAAAAAGTCTCAAAGCAAGGGACACTTTAATTTGACATGACGTAAGGTTAATTTGTTATAAGCCCGGTATAAAAGAAAACATAGAAAAAGTTTTATCACCCTTCTTATTTTTAATTATAAAGGGCGAAACATAAAATTAATGAATAAATGATAATATAAAAATTGACTCCAATGTTGCATTGATGTCCCTTGACTTTTGATACTTACGTTATTGAAGTTTTAGCATTATGCTTAGAGATGTGCTTTGTTACAAAGCACACAATATTTAAGCAGTGTATAAACTTAATCTAAAAAGACAAAGAATAAATGTATTTACTAAATATTACCTCTGATTTATTTTGCAATCATAACTGTGATAGATGCATGTGTAAAGCTAATTAAAGGTCTTACAAAATATATTGTGATCACTTTTTACATCTTTAAATCTTGTTTGCGAGTTAAGCTGTTGATACATCGTATCGAGTTATACACTAGATAACAAATATAAACAAGAGGGCCATGATGGACCTAGATCGCTCACCTGACCCATCGAACTCATCCGAACAATTACCTAGACAAGCATTCTGATCAACTTTCATGACAGGTGAGTCAAAAATGTGACCACTAGAGTGTTTACAAGGATAATCCATATTTGAGCAGTATGACCTAGTTTTTTTACTTTTTACCCATATTCGAACTTGACATAGAAATCATCAAAACAAACTTTCAGACCAATTTCCAGGATACTTGGATCAAAACAAAAGTCACTAGAGTGTTAACAAGATTTTTCTATTTTTAGCTCCGTTGACCTAGTTTTTAATCCCAGATGACCCATGTTCGAACTCATCCGAGCAATTACCTAGACAAGCATCCTGACCAAGTTTGATGATATTTGAGTAAAAAATGTGACCAATAGAGTGTTAACAAGGTTTTTCCATATTTTGGCGGTGTGAACTAGTTTTTCATCCGAGATGACCCATGTTCGAACTTGACCTAGAAATCATCAAAACAAACTTTCAGACCAATTAACAGGATATTTGGATCAAAATAGTAGCCACTAGAGTGTTAACAAGATTTTTCTATTTTTAGCTCCTGTGGCTCCTGTTTCATCCGAAATGACCAATGTTCGAACTCATCCGAGCGTTTACCTAAACAAGCATATCCTGACCAAGTTTAAAGATAATTAAGTCAAAAATGTAATCGCTAATTAAGTAAAAAATGTAACCGCTAGAGTTTTAAAAAGGTTCTTCTATTTTTAGCTCCGATGACCTAGCTTTTCATTCGAGATGACCCATGTTCGAACTCATCCGAGTTATCACCTAGACAAGCATCCTGACCAAGTTTGATGATGATTGAGGCAAAAATGTGACCGCTAGAGTGTTAACAAGGTTTTTCTATTTTCAGTTCCGGTGACCTAGTTTTTTTATCCGAGATGACCAATGTTCGAACTCATCCGAGCTATCACCTAGACACTAGACACATGGACAAGCATCCTGACCAAGTTTGATGATAATTGAACCAACAATGTGACCGCTAGAGTATTAACAGGGTTTTTTTGTATTTTTAACTCTTGTGACCTAGTTTTTCATCCGAGATGACCCATGTTCGAACTTATCCGAGTTATCAACTAGATAAGCATCCTGACAAAGTTTGATGTTGATTGAGGAAAAAACCGCTAGAGTGTTAACGAACAAATGTGGATGAACGACGGACGCCGGACATTCAACGATCCTAAAAGCTCACCCTGAGCTTGCTCAGGTGAGCTTAAAAAAGGACAAAAATAATATAAAAGAGCAATAACTTGCAAACTTCTGAAAAGACGATATATGATTCATAGGCACTGCATTTTTCTTTATCCAGATTTGTCAATCTATGGAGTTTCAAGTTCCCAGGACACAAAAAGGAATGTGAAAGCATACAAAGGGAAATAACTCCAAAATCTAATTAAAAATGCATAAGCCTTTTGCTAAATCCATCCTTAAAGCTTCAACTTGATATCTCCAATACTGTTTTTATTATGCACAAGACATAAAATTTAAGTATATCCAATAGAGAATTATAAATATAGTTGTTTAGGCACCGCGCCTTTCCTAAAAATGATATTTATTTACGACAAGAATACGTAAGAAGACTTCAAATGGCAATAACTTAATAATATTACCATGAAAAGTTATGATTCATAATTTAACACTTCATTTTTGTGAAATGAGATCTATCGTTTTGAAGTATCAAAATGGATATCTCAATGGGTATTGCAAAGGGCAGTAACTTAAAAATATCGTTATTTATCACTACACTTCTTTTCAATGAGATGTCGCAACATAAGTTTTAGGTTTGTAACTGGAAAAGTTCATTCCTTGCACAATCTTAGTTGATGAAAAGAACAAAGACAAATAAAAAGCCTTTTTTAAGTGGTCATCTTTCCTGGTTTATGGGAGAATATGCCAAAGTAATATTTAAAGGAAGTCCTTAAAATGTTGGTAGGACGGATTAACATAAAGAACATACGAACAGACAGAAAAATGTTCGAATAACCGGACAGACATCGCCAAATCTATATATCCCCCTATCCTCAGCTTGCAATACAAGTTCAAAATACAAATATTTTTGATGTCCACCTAATCTAATATGACGAGTATCCGTTTAATACGTTTTTGTTACTAAAATTATACTTATCCTCTAATGAATTTATGAAAGGTGGAAATCGTATGGTAAATATGGACACAATTATGTTCAATTTACAAGATCGATCGTGTAGCTCATGCAATTTTAACACTGGGTTCAATTGTTCCAATGGTGATTATTAATTAAAATATCATCACCTTTGTGCTTAATGATAATTATTGCAAAAAACTTCAGACAACAGAACTGTTAATGAAATCGTTTCTTTAATAATCAATAGCTGTTTAACTGAGTGATTCTCTATGAAATTGTTCTTATTATTTTGATAACGCATTGACCATCATCTATTATAAGTAATTCATTTTGAATGCTTCATTTATTATTACATGAATGTGAACGCAACATTTAATGCTGATTTCATTTTTCAATTTGAAACCATCATGTTAACCTCAAACGTTGAAAACGGTGTAAATAATAGCTTAGACAAGTTCTTCTTATTTACTTACTAAAAGTAAATAAAAACTGTGTTCATCTCTTTTGATATTCACACATGCAAGACAAACAAACCAGTGAATTTTTCGAATTTTAAGCAGTTTTACACTGTTCATAAGTCTATGTATACATTCTTCCTTACTTGCTTTTATAAATTTATAAATGAATTAAGGCTTCTTTTGCTGATCTATGTAGCCTATAGTTTGTTCATTTAGACCTTATGGAACTGATGATATCCATACCCTATCCAGATTTATTTGATTTTGATATATTTGTTTTTTAAGAAATATCTGATTTATTGAATTTACTGTTATATCTAACAGCAGTGCGTCTTAAAAACTGTAACATCATAAATATTGATCGATTAGACACATGACGGGAACACAGTCACACGAGAAATGTTTCTATTTACAAATTTAACCTCGTTAAAAATACCATATAAAACAATTTATCTAAAGTTATCTTTTCCCTTAAAAAGGAGTAAGATACCATGCTTTCAGCAGGAAATGTGCATTTCTCACTGGTAATCAAAACAAGAAAAACTGATTGATATTAATTAAAAACATACCTTTTAGATCTTCCATTTTCAAGACACCATCGTTATTTACGTCAAGTAGTCCAAACGCCTGATTGACTACTTCAACACGATTGGGTGACATGGCCGGTTGAAGTTTTGATATGAATTCCATGAAGTCAATTTCATTACTTTTATTCCTATCAAAGACCTGAAACAAAAGATTTATATCTTTTTCTTCTACATGAAGGTCGTAAGTTTGTAACCCTTGACAAAACTCAATGAAACACAGACGTTTTGAAAAATCTTCGTCCATTCTGCGAAAAAGAACTGCAAGCCCTTTTATTCCACCAACTCCTTTGAGTAAACACTGATCTTTTATTTGCGTCAGTATTTGCTTAACGTTTTCGTTTTCCATGTTTCTATCCACAGTGATTAAATTAAATTGTAAAATTGCACAGCAGTCAAATGAGTCCTTCTATAAACATGTCCCTAACAATACTAAATATTTGAAATATTATGTTTCATTTACTACCTTGTAACCTGAACTGCCACAAAAAGCATTTTTATTATGGAGAAATAGTTTTAGCCTTTTAGTCTCATACAAATGCAAACAGAACAAGAGTATCAGTAAAAAGCTGTCACTAGTAGCGCGAAGTTAGAGTATCAGTAAAAAGCAGTCATTACTAGCGCTAAGTTCTATATAAATGAATGCTTTTCTGTCTAATATTGATTATTGTTTTAACAAATATTTCCGTTATTTAGATTATTTTTTGCAAATATAATTTCTCTCCTTTCGCTATGAATTATCTTAGTTATTTGCTTACTTCTCCAGATTAAGTATAAAAGCCAATTATCGTGAAGTGATGACAACTAGATAATTATGTAATAAGTGCGACAATCATGTTGTAGATGTATTATCCTTTTTATCAGGCAACAGGGTTATTTCATGGTTTCCTTAAATGCAAATGATGTCGAATTGTGCCATCAATATATAGCACCAGTGTGAACTTGAAAGCCTTTTCCTTTCAGAAAGTCAAGCCACTCACAAACGTAAATAATTGTAGTTTGTTTGATAAAACATTATTTAACTATAGTTATTTGTTTTGTATTAATTTAACTTACTTTATAAATATGCATCAGTAAAATGAAACATAATCGATTTAATAAATTTGCAAAAAAAACTACGAAATGATGTTCATCTGTTACCATTTAAATACTTCTACAGATTACCATATTTTATTCCCATGACAGCTTCAGCTATAATTCATTCGTGCATCCTTATTGATTTAGATATCAATAGTGTCTCTTAAAGTCAAATATTTATAGTATATATATAAATAGTTATGAAATATTATTGTATTATTGTATCATTATCATTATAATCTCCCATAGTAAGTAAATGTTTGCAATTTTTTATTAGGTTATTGTTAAGTTTTAAATCTAAACATGTGGATAAAGAAACTATATTCAAAATCTTCAAAATTAAAAGTATTTGAATCAGTGATCTCGAAGGACCATGTTTTATTTGTAGACAACCAAACAAACTTAAAAGGAAATGGTGTTTTGGTGACAAATTGTCTTTTTCAAGTGATGATAAAATGATTAACTTACTTTTTGACGTTGCTTGTAGGAAAAGCAATACTTTTTCATGTTTTCAGTGTTTCATTTGAAAAAGGGAGTTCTTGTGCGTTTGCTTCATGAGTTGAATTCGAAACTCGCACATAGCGTAATGCCGTAAAATATTTACAATTACGACTACTTGGATTTTATGTCTCAGAATATGTTTCCACCAGTTTAATGAGATCTTGATACAAAAACTCAGCTGATGCTACTCTAAGAAAACACTTAAAGTGCTTATGTACCTATATATAACAGTTATTATGTACATATATATAACATTTATTCTATTTCTTTTAAACATATGTTCAATTAAATAATTTGCATAATCAATTGTTTTAAAATTTTACTTCATTATATACATCAGAAATACTTTACAACATAATATATGAGCTTTTGAAATAATATTGATACCTTAAGGTCTTTGTACTATTGTCAATCAGGTGGCATATGATTATTTTCGGGGATTATCATGTATATTGTAAAACATATTTTTCACGTTACCAAATAGGCTAGTTTGTTGGTGCTAATTGTATTATCTATTCTTTTTGGGAAAATGGTTAGAAATTGGAATTGAAAATAAATTGAAGCATTTATGCAATAATGCTTTATCAATGACAAATTCTAATAAATCAAAACAAAAATACATTATCATTAAAATTTATTAGTGGAATGATTGCCTGACAGTCGACGATATCGAATTCATGAAAAAAATTGAAACATGCAAAGGAAAATAATAGTGCTGGGGAATAGACCAAGCCACTTTGTTATTGATTGTATAATCATTATTAAACCATCATTTATCACTGTTTTTCATTCACAAGTCATTGTTTATCATTCAGTTCATCATACATAAATCAACAAATCAATTTCAAGTTCGACTCGTACATAACAAGTCCAATGGCAGATTGAATGACCAATCGCCGAATTAATGATTACTGCTAGATCTAACTGTTGGGGTTCAATCACAAACAGTATTTAACACAATGTTTTATATCTTTCTTTAACTTAAATTGAATTATTTTTAGTTAATAAAACACTGCGTCGAAAAATTCTGCCATGGACAATCCTCAATTTTCTAATGTCGACTGTCGACGAACTGGAGTTAGTAAACTATTTCATTTGTTGGTCGTAAGGTGCCACTCACAAGTAACTGCAAATATAAAGAAAACAAGAACAGAAACAAGAAATATAGTATACATTGTATAAATTTTTAATTTTCTATTTGATAACTATGGGCTAGGGTGGGCGGGTTCAACTTTCGATTCACATAAAAAAAGACTGGACCATGTGCTCCGGAATATATGACGTAGACGACTGATGACGTAAGCGCTAGCATTCACTGTGACCTTTCAACTAAAGTCCGGAATATATGACGTAGACGACTGATGACGTAAGCGCTAGCATTAACTGTGACCTTTTCAACTAAAGGGGAGACATAATCTGAGCTGCGTGTAATAAGACCTTACGACTTATCTCCATTATAATGAAAGAATTGTCTAGATAAACTGCATTATCACGATTAACACGGATAATGCTTATTATCAATGACAAATTCTAATAAATCAAAACAAAAATACATTATCATTAAAAATTTATTAGTGGAATGATTGCCTGACAGTCGACGAATATCGAATTCATGAAAAAAATGAAACATGCAAAGGAAAATAATAGTGCTGGGAATAGACCAAGCCACTTTGTTATTGATTGTATAATCATTATTAAACCATTATTTATCACTGTTTTTCATTCACAAAGTCATTGTTTATCATTCAGTTCATCATACATAAAATCAACAAATCAATTTCAAGTTTCGACTCGTACATAACAAGTCCAATGGCAGATTGAATGACCAATCGCCGAATTAATGATTACTGCTAGATCTAACTGTTGGGGTTCAATCACAAACAGTATTTAACACAATGTTTTATATCTTTCTTTAACTTAAATTGAATTATTTTTAGTTAATAAAAACACTGCGTCGAAAAATTCTGCCAATGAGTACGCAGTGCTCACGCCAAAAATTTAATTTTTCGCCGCTGTCAGGCTTTTAGTTATTCAGTCAATTGGATATACGTTTGCATTATTAGTCAAAAATGTTTCGATAGCACCTTGAATTGTGTTTAAAAATATAATCATTTCCAATATAAGACAAATGTACACCATCATCAGAAAATAATGCTGGCATTTTTATCTTGAAAATCTGGATGTTTTATACACTTATTGACCAAGCTGGGCATAGAAAATATATCAATGCTCTATTTTATTCTTTTCCGATTTTCATCCATAGCTTTATTATTTTCGGAGTACCTCAGACAAAACGTGGTAATATAGAGGACCAAACAATACAGGCCCTAGGCAAAATTCTCATTATCTGAGAAATAAACTTCTTTAAAATGGTGTCTTTAAAAACACCACATGGTTCTAGACCTATATCATTGCCACCAAAGTGTAAAAACAATAAAACTTGGTGGGTGGCAAACTAAAAGACATTGAGTAAATAATATTGTAAATTTGCCTATAATGTAAGCCCGGATGGCCAGCCCAAAAATACAGTAACACCGCGTCGCTGAAGACCAAGGTGACGTCCCCATCGGCCTCGTTTTTAGCATGTGCCTCTGCTCTCTTAATGATTGAAGACCCTACGATCCAAATATTTTGACAAGGCTGGCCAACGTTATCTAAAAATAAAATTATTATGGAATTATCTTATCTACCTAATGTATCTCTTTTTTAAGCCTTGGATTTCGAAGACCACCTACCCATTTGCATTATAATATCGTCAGAGATATTTAATTGAGAAGCTGTGGTAGCCGCGCCAATACGAACATGAATGGCTTTTTATATTTGAGTCAATGTTGAGGAAATTTAAACATTTGCGAAGCATGAAACGGAACTGATATTTAGTCATTGGTTGCCCATTGAAATGGCAAAATAGAGGACCGTCTATTTTGAGGGCGTAAAGTAATGTTAATGGCCGAAGTAGTCTTATTAGGGACATATCTCAGGGTAATGTGATATACAAATGTCAGTGTTACCCGACGACCTCAAACTGATCGGTTTTGGAAAATCTTATCGTTAAAAAAGCATTCGTTCTCCCGAAAATCTAAGGTCTCCTAACCTGAACGACTCTATTGGTGTCTGATTTCTTTGTGTCAACGGCTATTTCGCCTACCCGCAGCAAAAAACCAAAAAATGCACAAACAAGGCCGTTATGTACAATATTTGATTCATAGTTTGAATATGCAACTTTCTGTAAAGCCATTGGGAAGCGAAGAAGCACCTGTAACGTTATTGGAACTCGCAAATCCTTTTTTTTTGATCGGATGCGTCGCATTCCACATAACATCTTTTTTACTATAAATGATTGTGTATTATCCGGCATATCATTCATCTTTAAGAAAAACGAAATGCCGGAATAAATAGGAGTTAACTGTAGCAAATGCGAACTTTTTCGAGTGAGAGATAACCTATAAAATTAACCATATGATCCCCAAAACCAACGGTGGGGGCCAACACATCCGGTAGTTCATGCAAACAGCGAAAGTTCTTGAATGCATTTACAGCTTGGTTATAAATTTGTTTCGTTTTTTCCGTAATCGAGGAATTTAGTAGAATTGCTATTTCATCGGCAAGTACGTCATGAAGTCCGTAGGGATTGGTGTTGGGTGCACTTCCGCTTCCGGTGCTAACATTCGGAACATCTTCCACTGCATTCGGGAAATTGAATCAACAATGTTATTGTTTACACCACTGGTATGTAAATTTCAGAGACAATAACACTATTCGTCGAACAAGTGCCATTACTCTATCAGATTCCGAAGATTTTGAATTAGGTATATGT